TGGTCAGGTCCTTTGTTGGGCACTTCTCGACGATTGACTGCAGCCTATTGTAGAATTGATCTTTAGCGTCTTCATTGTAGTCGTTGGTAGGCGCATAGCATTGGATGATGTTCATTGAAATACCCTCTTTCTTTGTTTTAAACGAGTGTTTGATGATCCTAGGTCCATGAGATTCCCATCCTATAAGTGTAGTAAACGTGTCAGTGACTTCATGAATTCGTGTCATGTGTTGGTTTAGCCGCCTCTAGTTTTCTTCCAACCTAATCCTACACCATAAAACATCACACTTCGAGGCAGTCGGTGGTTTGGCATACAAAACACAGGTCCCAGTGAGCTCAACTGATAAAGTTTCACTAATTCATCAATTGATTTGGCATCCTTACATAGTACCTGTTTACTAACAACTGGATTACTTACTCAATGGTACCAGGATATACGATCAATGCTTCAAAGACACCTATGATCAAATTCTTGTAACAATAATATAATATAATATATATAATATAATATATATGTATATATATAATATATATAAAATAATATAATAATATAATATAATTACATAAAAAATTAGTGACATATTTTCATAATTAGATAACTATAATGAATAAGAGATATGTTGATATGAAGAGCTAATCAGAAGTAGTCCAAGGCGAATATCAACCGATGGCAATCACAAGTGACCTGAAAGACATTTTCATTTCATTTTCTGTGAAATGGATCAATTTCCTAAGGATTAGAGTGGTATATGTACTAGTGGAGTCAGAGCATATGGCGAACTGTCATCTGATTTTGCAACATCAAGTGGTGTCTGTGAAGGCTGTCCACTTTCTCTATTTTTGTTTACCTTCGCCATAGACCAACTGATGGAAATAACGCCATCGTCGATTGAATTCTCCGGCATTGATCTCCTTCCTAGAGGTCCACTTATCGACTCACTATACGCAGATGATATCGTCCTGTTTGGTGAAATCACTTGGTGATTCCAAACGAAATGAACGAGCAAACGGCGATCGTTCCACTGAGATAAGAGATGTAATCAGCAGTCCGTTTCTATGAATTTAGCTGTAGCTAAAATACAATGTGATACATATATATGTCTGTTACCAGTGTTTGGCCAGCTGCAAACTTACCATACAATAATGCAGATCTCTGATACACAGTTGAACAACATACATTTACACGTACACCAGCGAATGAAAAGCCATGAGGATTGGACACAAGAGTTTTATAAATACCACAACAGTGATTGTTTTCACTTGATTTTCCTTAACGGAAGTAGTAATCTTCTATGACATGAGAATTCTAATCATTTTGTCAGTCACATGAACAGATTATTACGAAGCGAAATATTTTATTCCAACTCAGATTTATATTACACCCACTAGACAGAATAGAGTATAGACACTACCATATGATCTCATTATGAGATGGAATGAGGTGATAATTGACAACAAAGTATGATCATTAGTGTTTCTATAAACAAACGAGGTCAACACAAATATGTTTGTTAAGAAAATGCACACGTTGTTTACATCGATATTGAAGAAGTAATAAATTTTTCTGTGAAAATGTTATCGGATGTAAGAGAAATGATGATAGAACATGGTGTGATTTTGTATTCAATGCTGTGAATTGGACAGAATTCCCGAATTCTTAAATCATATTCGTAAATGCACACAGTTCAGAGGTCTTTGTTTCGTTAGCAGGAGTGGCATATATAAGAAGGTCAGTTTGTGCTGCTTCGATCTCTATTGAACTCAACAAAGCTGGTCTATTCAAGAGTTGCTTATCGACTCACAATACGCATATGATATAGTCCTGTTTGGTGAAAACAGTGATGAAATGCAAATTCTTTTGTTAGTATTGAGCAACAATGCCAGAATGTCTGAAATGAGTTCCGCCCTCTCTAAATGCAAGTTGTTGTTTCAGGACTGGCCTGAATCAATAACCTTAGACGAACTAAATGATTGACTTGAAGAAAAATTCATGTGAATTGTCTAGTCACAGCAGTTTCGTGTAACTGCAGTTTTCTGTTGCTAGGTGCCAAGCTCTTACGAATTCACTTAATCTGCGAAGGAGGAGAAAGACTCTGTTACCAAAGACCAATAAGCTGGACATTGTGATGCACCCCAGCCCCGCTAACTAGAGGAACAATTCCAAGCTTGGAATGGGGACGTATATTCTGCAAACAGCAAGAAACCAGAGACAATAATAATCATAAATCAAAACATATATATACAGCACAAAACCGTCCTTGGGGTAACTTACCAAGTAGCATACTGAAAGACGCATTGAATCAACAGCATTTAAGATATTTCCCAACTGGGAAATAACACATGAAGGTGGCAAGAGCGCTTTTCGCCCGAAAACAAATAAATTCAAATTTTCTTAATAAAATTAAAAATGAGATCCTTTTACATGTGAGTTCTGGGGACCACCACTACAATCATTTGAAATTAATTGGTGAATGGTTACAGTGTTTATTCACAGCTGGAGCAAGACCATCTATGAATTGACAACGAGAACATTTGCTTCCACTTCATCTTCTTTTTAGAAAAGTAATAATAATAATAATATGCAAAATGAGAATTTCACTCCGTTTTGATGTCAGCCAAATAAACAACAACCAACATGCATATGACACCCACGATACACAATAGAGAATACCATATTATTGATTGATTAATGAGATGCAATGAGGTGATCAATGATGAACAAAGTATAATCATAGCTGATTCTATAAACAAAAAAGAGGTCAACACAAATATGTTTTGTTCATTAGACAAACACGTTGTTTACACTGAGATTGAAGAAGGAGTAATCAATTTTACCTTGAAAATGTTATCGGATGTAAAGAGAAATGATGATAGAATGTGGTGTTTTGTTATATATTCAATGCGATGAATCAGACGGAATTCGCAATTTGTCTTTGCGAATCTTATTCCTCAATGCATACGATATACAGGTTTGTGGTGTTTGTATGAAGTAGGTTTGGAAATTGACAACTTGTCGTGATAATTCACTTCATTAGGCCACTTTATCTACGATTCAGTAAATATTGATTGAGGCAGTATTTTAGGAGTGCTAAAATAGTTAACTATTTCCATACATTCATACATACACTCTCGGCCATACCACCAGGGAATTCGGCAACCTTGATTAAATATCACAACCATTGCATTGAATACTTCATTTGTGAATTTCCATCATTTATCCATCACATTCTGCATGATTCTTCCAGTCTACACTCTCTTTTTTCCCTTATATTCTCTTCAACTCGATCTTCTTAACCTTCTGCTGTCTGGTTTTCCACTTACGATCGGTGTTACAAACTACTTATATCGATAGACAAAAGTAGTATACACCACAGCTGTATGATTTTTCATTCCACGTTACTCGTTTTCCCTGTTACTGAATTATGTTGAATAGTAGTTCGATTCGTGTATCATTCAGAAGACATTGGTGTTATGCTGCTAATAAGATTCAGATTCTGTTAGTTTGCTTTCCTCAACAGTTCCGAATGGAAATAATTCTGATCCTAACTGCATTCAGACCTCAGTATTGTAGATGTTCACGAATTGATCTGGAAGATTTCTTAGAAGGTCTATAGCGGTATATATGATGAGGGTGCTATCAACATTGACGATTCGATGAACCACAAAGTAGCAAATATTTATTTATAAAGTGAAAATGAACATGATGTCCGGGATCATCATCATCCCCGTCTACTTGAAATATAAAAGTAACAAACATTATGTTGATTATCATAAAGCTGTCCATCCAGTTACTTGATTTTTGACAATCACATTACAATTCACTTCATAAGATGATGTTCAGCATTACAAACTGTGATCAAATATTGAGATTATTGAGAGAAGATCTGTTGCTCAGAAGGCTGACGTTGTATCTTTTCAACTGTCTTTAGCACAGCTAAACAAACGAGCACAGTAAAGCAATCACCAGTACAATTTGTTATAATAATGATTGTCTCCATTAAACCCTTCGCGTTCTCTTGATGAAGGTAGGTAACTACATATTCAACATTGCAAACTGTGATCGAATATTGAGATTATAGAGAGAAAATCTGTTGCTCAGAAGGTTGATGTTTTATCTTTTCAACTGACTTATTGATTAGTTGCTCTATAAACATGGTCTCTTCCATGTTCTATGTGCCGAGTGCGTGACTTCTCTATTGGATTCCAGGCAATTCAACTCCGCCACAGTCATCATTCATCATCATTCATTGTTCACCTGTGTTGCTCAGTATAATCATTTCGTTTTGACTGCAGTTATTCACGTTGCTACTGCAAACAATGATATTTCCATACATTTTCCGGTCAAATTATTCCATCACTAAATATCTATAGATATACTTATAATATAACATTCTCAGTCAAGTAATTTTAGAGTAAATTGGATAAAATTCACACCTGACATTGTCAGTAAAGAAACCCTGAATCAAAAGCACGATTTATATGGGGATATAACAGGAGCTAGACTACGGGTACTCAACATAACTGAAGTCACCTGGATCAACTCCTGAAAACCGAACTAATATATCCAGAAGAGATATATCCAGTCTCCATGATTACCGTGGTCCACAACTGAATCACCAGACACCTAAAATGCATGTTATGAACCTATTATCCCAATTCTCTTTGTGATTATCTCTTTCTCAATCCACATTGATTCGTTTTCTTCGTAATTACCTTGACTTCTAATCTAAAAATATCATCTAAAGTAAATTAATTCAGAGCTACGAGTTATGCAAAATCTTTATTTAAAAGAATTGTGACTTCTCATGGTGAAAGTAGAGATTGTTTGGAAGTCACGAGATCCACATGTGTCAGATGTTGCTCAAAATAAGAAGATAAAACATATCACAGTTCATGGTAGAAATGAAACTCATGTATTGCATACTATGCAGAAAACGTTTTACATTCAAGAAATATGCTGTTATATTATGGTCCTAAGTGAAAAGTAAACAATCTGTTCAG